ATGCAGGGAGAACGCCCTCCTGAGGAAACCGGGTGTTCATGGCTTGGGCACGGGCGCGCCCCTGGGGGTCCAACCCGGCTGGGCGCAGAGCTGGGGTGTGTGGGGTTCGGCCCAGCCGGCAGCGGGTCACGAGTGGCTTTTCCCGGGGGCCCGCTGCTGGGGCCAGCGGGGCTGCATAGTCGTACGGACCGTCTGGGTGAGGGGGGGGGAGTGCACCCTCAGAAAGCTGGCAGATGACACCACACTGGGTGGGAGAGTTGAGCTGCCTGAGGGTGGGAGGGCTCTGCAGGGGGACATGGGTGGGCTGGATCAATGGGCCAAGGCCGGTTCTGTGAGATTCAACCTCTCCTGGCTCGTATCAGAAACAGTGTGGCCAGCAGGATGTGGGTAGTGATTGTGCCCTTGTACTTGGCACTGGCGAGGCTGCACCTCGATTCCTGTGTTCAGTTTTGGGCACCTCACTGCAAGAAGGGCATTGAGGCATTGCAGTGTGTCCAGAGAAGGGTGATGGAGCTGGTGAAGGGTCTGTAGCACAAATCTCAGGAGGAGCAACTGAGGGAACTGGGGTTGTTTGTTTAGTTTGGAGAAAAGGAGGATGAGGGGAGAGCTTACTGCTCTTTACAGCTACCTGAAAGGAGGTTGTAGGGAGGTGGGGATTGGTTTCTTCTCCCAAGTAACAAGTGATAGAACAAGAGGAAATGGTTGTGCCAGAGGAGATTTAGATTAGATATTAGGAAAAATTTCTTTATGGAAGGGGTTGTCAGGCACAGGAACAGGCTGCCCAGGGAAGTCATAGAGTCCCCATCCCTGGAGGCAGATGTGGTGCTCAGGGACATGGATTCGTGGTGCACTTGGCAGTGCTGGTTTAACAGTCGGGCTTGATGATCTCAACGCACACACAAAAGCCTGTGTTAGATGACTGTTGTTAAAGGTGTGAAGCAGTCAGAAGTTACAGAACACCAGAGTTCAAGTTGTTAGTCCATACTCCAGCTCAGTTGCCTGTTGCATGGGTTTTATGATGCAGTCTGTAGTTACAGGATTATGGTTGTTTTTTTCTGTCAAGAGATTGTCAGTGCTTGAGAATGATGGACCTTGGAGGGTGAGACTGATCTGGGTGAGGAAAGAGGCAGGTTAATTTGCTGCAGAAGTAGGAAAAAACACTGAATGGCACAGCCAGTAGCAAGAAGAGGAAGGCTCATCTTTTGGAGTGGCAATGGGTAATGGCTCTGCATTTGCCAGAGCTGACATATATGCAGGGTAGATCACTTAAATTCAGATTTATGTAGGTAGTTGCTAGATAATTCAGCGTGCCTGCCTTGAGCCACCAAAGGTCTGGCAGCATGTGCTAAATGCTCCTAAACTGCAGCTGAAATAAATGGGAGCTTCAAGAACATGCTACAGAACAACACATGCTCTGAAATAGATCACTGTTGGGTGTTTCAGTGAGACACCTATACTTAGTGAATGTTTTTTGCCAGTGTCTCCTTCATCTCCTAGAGAGACTGTGCAAATAAATTATTCACAAAATCTTCATATTGTGTAGGGGTAACAGGCATGAAACAGTCTACAGGTAAGTGACCTTTACAGGGTGAATTCTACCAATGTGTGAAATATGTCTCTAGTAAAAGGAGTAGTGGATCAGCCAATGAGTTGATGTGATTAATGCCCTCTGGTTGCTTCGTATATTTCTAATTATGCCAGGAGGAGAACAGGGACTTGCTGCCCTTTGCCTGTTCCTGTTGCTCTGTTCTGTCACTTGGTTTGCAAAGTAATGTTAGATTGCTTCAGTTGTTACACCTGAATTCGCTGCTGCAAGCTTCTGCTTGGGGAGGTCCTAGGTTTTCAAGATGAATCAGTGGGGGTAGCTTTCTCCCTGTGGGTCTGTTTTAACTTACTTCTCCACAGCTGGAAGCAACCATTGCTGTGGAGATCATCAGTGTTGCTGCTGTCATGCTGACAGCAGATAGGCAGTTTGGCCAAGTGTCCTAGAGATGGAAGGGGCAAAGGATCCAGTTGGTCTTCGACAAAACCTTTGGGGGGTTTTGGGGCACGGATCCAGTGTCTATTCTTTGCCATTCTTCCTAACACCCAGGCATAGGCACTGCCTGTGAACTCAGCCTGGGGAACTCATGACTTTAGAGGTGCCTGACCTGTACATACAGGGATGAGTTCACAAACCAATCCTCTAGAATTAGAAGTGCCCTCCCCAAAAGCCACATTTGATGCTAATCTCTATATGTTTGCAGGGTTTTTTCTCAAGATGCTGGTGCTGCTGCAGAAGTGAAGCCAAAATGCTAAATTCTATCTTTCCAGCAACCAGTTTAACTTAATTTTAAATTACTATTCAGAAGCACTAAGGCTCAAAGGTTATATTTCAGAAATGAAATATGAGATTCTATCTTTATAATTCTCCATCTTCAAGTAAGAAAATAATCTCTTCAGGTTTTAGGGACCCAGTTATTTAGATAATGTAGTGGAAGTAAGCAAAGTGGATATTCTGTAGTCCTCATGTAGGCATTATTTCAGGTTTATCTTTATGCAGATTAATCACAGAATCATAGAATCACAGAATGGTTAATGTTGGAAGATACCTTAAAAATCATCAGGTTCCAACCTCCCTTCTATGAGCAGAGACACCCCACACTAGACCAGGCTGCACAAAGCCCTATCCAACCTGGCCTTGAACACCTCCAGGGAGAGGGTTTCCACAACCTCCCTGGGCAACCTGTTCCAGCACCTTACTACCCTCATGGTGAAGAATTTCTTCCTGTTGTCTAACCTAAATCTCCCCTCTTTCAGTATAAAACCATTAACCCTTGTCCTATCACTACTCTTCTCTGGTGAAAATACCTCCCATCTTTCCTGTAGGCCCCTTCAGGTACTGGAAAGCCACAATAAGGTCTCCCTTCTCTTCTCTTCTCCAGGCTGAACAGCCCCAACTCTCAGTCTGTCTTGGTAAACATTTGACTTCTCTAAATTGATATGCCAGGCACAAAGTTATTTGAGCTTGCCTGCATTTATCTAGTCTGATGCAGAAGACATGCAGGCCTAACTTGTGAGAATAAGAAAAAGGTGAGATTAACTTTTTCATAGAGCTTTTGTGATACTCAAATGGTAAAGGTGTCTTTTGCAAACTGCGATTTTAAAGCAAAAGCATTCACCATCTGAAAGATTGCAGAATAACTGTATTTTGTGATGGAAAAATAATTGCATTCTTCACTTTAGCAGTTAACAATTTGTAACCTGAGTTCAGTTGATGAAAGCTGATGAAGAGGAGCTGTTTTTATTAGGTTAATTTCCAGAGAGGGTTTTTATTCTTGGCTGACATACGTGTTTGTGCTTTCTTAAGAAGATAAAATATTAATTACAAAAAACCTTTCTATTTTAATCTTGACAGGAGAATTATTACCTTTGAGATGTGCTGTTATTGGCATGCTAGATGAGGAATAAAACCTTATGAGATCTTGTCAAATAATAATCACAGACATCTTCTAAAATTACCTCAGAGTCAGCTTTCAAATAAATTATTTGTAGGTGCATTTTGGTGTCATTCAAACAGGTCAAATAAATGATTCATATTTTTTTGCCATTAGGCTAAATAATTTATTCATAATATCTCCACTGTCCAGTGGCTAACCTTGGTACCTTTGAAACTTTTTCATTCCAGAGTCCAAACTGAGTATGAGTTGGTGAATTAGGCAGGTGGATAATGCTTTAACTAAACAAACTAAAGATTTTAATCTTTAGTTGGTCTAAAACATGATTGTGATCAGACAGCTTGATTTAGATGGTGAGCCAGGATTGGCTCTCAACAAACATTTAATGGTTTTACTAATTTATAATATTTCTCTCCTCCTGTGTCATATTTTCTGATAAGCTTATGACTGTTGCTTTGAAATATAAAAGTGCCTGAATATCTAAAAGTATATTGACTGCCCAAGGAGTTCAAGCAAAACCACCCAGGTGGATTGGGCATCCCATGTTCTCCTTTGTGCTGTTTAATTTAATTTCTCTTCTTGTGTCACATACACACTAAATGCTTTTACATGGTCCCCATTTAATGTCAGCCTTGCCATCTCCTCCATTCTGTGTCTGATCCCATCGTCCCTCCACTCACATAGCTCTGCTGCCTCCTTGTCTCCAGAGGTGTGAGCAGCTGGTTCACAACTAGTCCCTCCCCTCCTTTCATTTGCCCTAATGATCAAGAGTGAAAAAAACCTTATAGGTAGCAGAGAGAGAGGTAGAAAAGCCTATGGAGGAAACAATGTGCAGCTGGGATTTTCTTCGGGCTTGTTACACCACTGAGGGGCTTACCCACCAGTTTAAAAACTACTGGTTTGTGTTGCACCTGGTATTTATAGTGAACATTTTAGGTAAAGGGGATATTTTTAAAATTATGTGAATTGCTTTTTCAAGAAGCTCCTGTACTTCTAGATTCAAACCATGTTGAGTGGCTGTGGCTACAGGCAGTGACAGGATTTGCACACATGGTGAACAGCACTGCTGGAGGGATTGGAGCCTCGGTGAGGGTTAATCGCATCCAGCAGGCTGTGACAAACTCTGTCCCTTGTGTTTTCAGAGGCTGCACAGTGGAGTTCTCAGAGACCTTGAGCGTCAACATCAGAAAAAGGAGAATATTCGACTGCTGGAAGAGCAGATTGCTTTGACAAAGCAGCTTATGGAAGAAAGAGACAAGGCGCTAATGGAAAAAGGGTCCCAGCAGTCCTAGGCACAGCCCTGAGTCATTAGAGGTTTGAATAAAGACGTTTGGAGATCATTGATACCTAACTACTTGCAAGTGTTTCAGCAAACAGAGGTAATCTGTGGAAGACTTTATTTTGTATAGGTTGTAATCCTGTTCCAAAAGCTACAGGGCAGACACAAGACATTTCCTCCATCTGGTACTTTGACTATGGAGGTTTGAGCAGCACATCCAGTGTGGGTAAACTTGTCCATGTGGGGAGGAATAGCTGCCCCTTATTATGCAAACGCCATCTGTGATGGCTAATAACGTTCACATGAGTGGGCTGCTGAGCCGCCACGATGATGAGGCCACCAGGACCTCCACCTCAGAGGGCCTGGAAGAGGGCGAGGTGGAAGGGGAGACCCTCCTGATTGTTGAGTCTGAGGACCAGGCTTCAGTGGACTTATCGCATGACCAGAGTGGGGACTCTCTGAACAGCGACGAAGGTGACCCGTCCTGGATGGAGGAGATGTCCTATTACTGTGAGAAGTGCCAGAAGTGGATTCCAGCAAGTAAGCCTGCCAGTCGTGTTGTGTCTTGCTTGCATTGGTGTGGTTGTTTGCAAGGTAGTTGTGCTGTCCTGCATACCACTTTAGCAGGGCTGCCCTTGTTAAGCTGTATCCCATCGTATCTTGGAGAAGGGCTGTCTTGGTATTGATTTCTGTGGAGCCCCACGGCATCAGGCAGTGTGCTTTAGGTACTTCAATCCATGAAGCCGGCTGTCCAAAGCTGGCATTCCCTGTAAAGAAATGGGATTGTTTTCTTTAATTAGCATAACTTCAGAAACATGCGTGCCTTCCCCAGTCTTGCTGCTGATGTGTTTAGAGGACTTTGGCCAGGCGACTTAACCTCTCTGCTCACTCGGGTAAGAGATAATGGCCTTCTTGTAAAGCTCTTTCTGTAGAGGAAAAGTGCTTTGGGATAGTGTTACATTTATTTATTTGTCTGTCTATGTATTTTCTGGTCAGTTTGTCACATCTGTGGAGCACATCTCAACCATAGTGGTTTCACAATAATATGAATCGAATTTAGCTTTCACAGAAGTGTCTAGCCTTTAGCAGCTAGTTTGGGGAGGTGTTTGGAGCAAGTTGCAGAACTTGATCCCTCCTCTGCTACTTGACATAAGATATCTGCTGTTGGCAATGTAACAAACTAGACTTAACTTTCTAAATTCTAGCTGTCGGTATCTATCAAAAAAGCTAGGTGTTGCTAAACACGTTTTTTTGTGTTTGTTTTATTGTTTATTTAGGAGTGGCATTTCTTTGGGTTTGTTTTTTATTTATTTGTGGCTAGAAATAGCAAAACTTTTATGTGACACCTGCCTTGCAGGTGTGTCAGAGCTGCCTTTTCTGTCATCCTACAAGTTGCCAAAAGTTACAGTGTAATCTCCTCTCAAGAAGTGTTAGTGAGTGTTTTCATGTTAATATAATGGAACCAGCATTGCTCTATTAAGGTAGTATGCAGTTAAAGGTACATATTAACTTGAAAGGTATTAATTATTAAAAAAAAGGAGCAGAGTTAGCGATAGTGTAACATATCTCATCTTAGAGCACTTGATTTAACACTCGATTTGTTTTATTTTACAAAGATGTTCCTCTTTCTCGTTGCTGTGAAACAAATCCAAAGAGCAGAAAAAGCCAGTTACAGAGCAACAGTAATGACATACAAGTGCACAACGTAAACGAGGAAAAAGGAAAATACTGTTCTCTTTGCAAATTGTTCAGTTACACAGGTATCATTTGTCACTTGTGAGAGTAACCCACAAGCTCAGACAAATGATCTCTTTTCACTTTGAATTGCCATCTAGAAGTTCTGTTAATTACTAAGTCCGGAGGGGTTTCGCCATCAGACATAGGTGCATAGTTAGATTTTGTAGTTCATGATGGAAGAGGAATATCCAGGTATTGCAAATGCCTAATCTGATGTTGTTATACAGTAAAAGAGATACTTGGATAAAGACCTCACAGGTGTGAATTTTCAGAAATGCTATGATCTTAAGTGTTTTCCTGTCTTGTGATTTAATTTTTTTAATTTTTCATATTTGTGTAAATTAACCCCTAGTGAGTTTAGGAGCCCTGATCCATTAGATGTTTGTTTTGGTTTGTTGTTTGTTTGGGGTTTTTTCTCTGCTGCAGAACCATACAATTATAGTCTGTAACTATGGATGTGTGGGGTTTTACAGGCGGCTCTACCTCAGCACATCTTCAAATGTTCAGACAAACTTTCATGCAAGGTTAGCTTTACACAGCAAAGTAGATACTGAAGTGCTTTGCTGACTAGGACCTAATTCATTAACTGCAGTCAAGAAAAAGTGTTTCCTGATAACGTGCCATTCTTTTGGCTCTCAGTCTCAAGATGATCTTCCCCTGATAAAATAAATAATTTTAAAAAAAAGCTGTAAAGACATGTAGCAATGAGTGAAAAGATGACATGTAAGAGAAAGCTTGTATATTTTGATAGCCTTTGCAGTAGCATATGTTGGTTTTTACAAGCTTTTTAAAATAGTGGGAAAACAGTTACTTATTGAAGTATGTAGGTTATCTTGGGGAATCAAAAAGGAATAAGAAATGCTGCAGAAACAAGGAAATCCTTGGCTTTGTACCTGCATTCAGATGTCAAGTATAATGCCCCCTTTTTTTTTTTTAAATGCCTATGCTTCTCAGTTGTTCACTGCTAACTGCTGCAACTGTGAAATTGATTTGTGCTTTCCATTGCAGTGAGTTCTGACCCTTCCTGGAAACAGTCTGAGTCTCTGAACTCTAGGAAAAAAGCAAAAAGTACTTTTCTGCCTGATGTTGTAGGGAATCCAAATCTCCTTTGTACCATTTTTTTTCCTATAAAAGCACCAACAAATTGATTTTTGCCTATTAACTTTAGGTCAACTGAGAGAACAGCTCAGCTACCTCAAAGGAGATAACTTCTTCAGATTTACTTGCTCTGATTGCTCAGAAGATGGGAAGGAGCAATTTGAACGGCTGAGATTAACATGGCAACAAGTAGGTGACAGCAGAACAGTAACAGGACTCCATGAAATTGTTTGTTGTGTATGTGCTATGTAGAAAAGGAGGAACAGGTAACAAACATACACATGAACTTCAGAAAGTAATTAGCTAAGGATTGCCTGCATATTAGAACTTGGGCATTTGGAAGGTAAATTGAAAGATAATGATACAAACCACTTATTTTTTTTCTCTCCTCCTCTTTTTCTTTAAGTTGCTTATGAATTCGTGGCTTCAGGCAAGACGAATACAATTTGGCTGCAAGGCATAAACAGTTTTTTGTGTATGTGAGCAAATGTAAAGCTATTGAGATGGCTCCCTGAACGCAAAGCTCCAACCTGGCTGCTTACTCGCTAGCAATAGTCCTTGCTGGAATTTGCTGTTTCAGTCATTTGCATAGCTGAGCAATCAAAATAATTTGCATTATACAGCAACCACCATATGGGTGGACTGATGCACATCATCTTGCTGTAAGCAGGAGGCTGGAGGGGCAGGCAGGCAGTGCTGGCTGGCTTTGCATAAAATTAAATTGATCAAACAGTAGCTGCTGCTCAGCATTAGGAGTTTCCACATGCTGAGCATTGGGTAGTACATACAAGACATCTCTTTGCATCCTTTGGGACAGTAGTGGTGTGCTGTCTCCTAAGAGATAATTTAAAGCATCACTTGTAACTCCTAAAGTGCTTTCTTATGGTGCCCGAGTGCAGGGCTGTGCAGGGAAAAAGGTTGGCATAGCAGCTTGTGCTAGCAGACTGTCAGAGTTGCACCAAGTTACAGATCTGGAGAGCAAGGGCTGCTAGCATTACACTCAGATCTCTTCAGAGTGGTAAATGGAAAGACGGATGAGGATGAAAGTTGACTAGTGATGACACTCTCCCTAGGCCTATCTGAAATAGGAAAAATGGGGGCAGTGATTTTGGGTTTTGTTTGTTCGTTTTGTTTTCTTTGTTTTTCTCCAGAATGTGTGACTTCAGCAGATCCTTATCTTTAGCTAGTTGAAAAGAGAATTGTTTCTGAAGTCCTGAGACACTGTCCCACCTGACTTAAAAAAACTTCAAAATCCTAGATAAATGCTTATAAAACTAAGAGGAGTTGTGAGGCAAAAATGTAGAGTACAGGGGACATAAAGGGTGTCTGGATTTCCTCATTTTGGCATCTTCAGCAATGTGTTACAGAAGGCTACAGCCCACTGTGAGGAGACCAATCTCCCTATTAAAAAATACAATTTTAACTTTTCTGACAGTGAAGAATAAGTCCTTATTGGAGTGGTATCCAACTGAGGCTGTGTGATTGTTGAAAGATGGTCCCAGCCCAGCTGTACAAATCTGGTTGTATTCAAATGACTTGGGTAAACGTAATTAACAGTTGTTCACCTATGATTCACTACAAAGAGATTTTATATTTTTCAAACCATTAGCTTGGGCATTTAATAGGTCAGACTGCATTTGGTTGTGAAGCACATGAATGAGTTGTAAAAGGATTGACTTAAGGAAGATTATCTGGAGACAAACTTAATTCTTGCATACTCAGAACAATTAGTAGCTATTATGTAATTTAACAGAGTTTATAGTCTGTTCGGTTTGAAATGTAACAGTAAGAATCTAGAAACACCATTGTCGCTACATTTCTGATGGATTAGGTAGTGGAATTACTTGTGGCCTTTTTTTTTTTTTTCCCAAAGACTTTTTCCCCACCTCCACATTGCATTCAGATCCCAATGGTGATAGAATTCATTTTTACAACCACTGTAAAAGCTTGCATTTCAGCATAAACCTGCATAACTAGGCAGTTTGCTAGTCCCCTGGGATGGAGAGATCTCTGGGAGAGTGTGCATCTAACAATAGAAAAATGAGAACAGGCAGCATGAAAGCAGGAAGAAGATGGATTGCAGCAGTTGCCTATGAGATGTTGCAAAAATAAGATATTTATGAGGGAGCACAGATTTGTGTGTGTGTGTGGCAGGGGGCTGGGGACAGGGACAGGGCAGTTCAGCAAATTAAACAGAAAACATTCACTTGTATCTAACGTTTTCTGTTCCAGGTTGTCATGCTGGCAATGTACAATTTGTCTCTGGAAGGAACAGGACGTCAGGGGTACTTCAGGTGGAAAGAAGATATTTGTGCTTTTATAGAGAAACATTGGACTTTCTTATTAGGGAACAGGTAAAGATGTGGTGTTCCCCTGAAGGTTGGTAAGCCAAAGGAATCAAAACCTATTATACAGATGGACAAGAATCCTGGTTGATTTTGTTGAGCCTCACTAAAGAAAAAATTGGAGGAATTAGTATTGAGAACATGAATGTAGGCATGAGGGTTACTCTTGAAAAAGAAGTGTTTCTTAGCGAGGGGGGGAAAAACAACCCCAAGAATGCCACACAAAACCAATGTAAATGCATGTACTTCAGGTTCTCTCTTATCTTCCTGTAGGTAGTGTATGAGCCTGCAAAGCCTTTGGTTATTTCTAAACAGACGCAATGGATGGCCTTGTCCTTAAGTCACTGGGCTTTAAATGAAAAGAAAAAAACCAAAAACGTCCAGTGAATTACTATGTTACTTGGCTGTAAAGCTTGTATGGATGCAGTTTTCCAAAAAGGAAAATTGTTCCTTGTCTGTTAGCTTGTTTTTGGATGTTAATAAAGTAGCTTTTACGTAGCAGGCATTACAAATCACTATAATGCTTTTTAGTGCATTTAAAGAGGGAAGCTGTCAGGGCAACAACCCTTCTTGTAAAGGTCAGCCCTTGTGGCATGATGAGAAAAACGGCACCTCTTCTAACTGCACCTTTTTTTGTGAGAGAGCTGAAGCTGTCAAACGCGTCTGTTAATCCATGTTGAGGTAGGAAAGGAATTGAGCAATCCCCTGAGGTTGGAGATTTGATAGACTTCACAGCTTCTTCCCCAGGGACTTCTCTGTTGTAAGATCTGGTCTTTCTCCCTAACTGGATTTGCTTTTTGGCTTTGCTTTCACTGTGTGTCTTCACCTCCTTGCTCTGTTCTCAGAAATGTTAGTATTTGTCCCCTCTGGAAACCATGGGGATCCTGACAGGAAGGCTGTTGATGGCCCATTGTCCCTCACTCAGGGAGCCATCACCTCCCAGGGTGTACTGCTGCCTTTTGAGACCCACCCTGGGAACAGGGCACTCCTTACTCTGATTAAATTCAGATGAAGTGATTACTGGCCTCGGAGGTAGTTTCCCCACTTGCCTGGAC